TCTATAAGGATATGTTTTCAAGCTCTCGGGAAGCTCCATGTCAGATGCGTCATGCACTCTAGTTTAACCTCGAGAAAAAATTATTCGTATGTGGTGCGCATATAATCCTCGCTTATGCAACATGATCGCTCCTCAGAGAAGCATTTGCTCCAGCGCGCCATGGATTGAACATCTTCATTGCATTGTGAATTGATGTACTGTACATTGAATTACTGAATTGATCGATTACTTCTTTCCAGAATTCATGATCCCTATTTTCATTTTGACGCGCAGAATGAATAAACATGTAGTCCCTGCGTCTCAACAAATCTCCTTCTCATCTCAACGCTATCTGCACTGAAATCCAGATCAATTCTCAAGCGGAATGTAATCTATTTGTGAATTTCTCAGCAAAATGTTCAAGGCAGGTATTATCCCGAAACCTGAGAAGGTAGCGACGAAATCCTTAGATTTCCTTCGGAAAGTGCTATCGAATAATATGCACTAAGCGCACAAGTGAAACTTTAGTTTTTCATAGTTTTCGGGCTTCTTATTTGCTGCCGACCGACTTCGCTGACCCTTGGCGGTCACGTGTAATTCACGTGCGCGTGCGTGAGAGGTCACATGACGGCGGATAGCGTTCGGTCGTAGCGGGAAGCCAGATCAATATGTCGCACGATCGTGTGAACGGCATCACGCAACGTGCGCGTGGATCGCAGGTGGCCGCCAAGGCCGTAAAGGTCACACGATTCTCATGTTGCATAAGTGGGACTATATGCGCACCACATACAAACAATTTTTTCGAGATAAGCGTGAGTGCATGACGCATTCTGGCATGGGGCTTTCCGAGAACTTGAAAACACATTCTTGTAGATCTCGACGAGCCGAATTTAACGGTTCTTTTTCGGATTCTGAAAAGCTTTCTTTTGAATTGAGTTATAAAATATTCGAAAGACTGAAGGGATTTCCATGCGAAAAGGAATTCGGAAGTTATGAAGCGCAAGAAGGTACTGAGTAATAGTTACTTCTCGAGGGCTAGCTAGTGGCATTCGGAATCGTGGAGCTTTCGTATAGTCGATTTTTTTCGTCCGCTTAAATACCGACTCTCCCACTCGCACGGAACACACGCACTGAGCTCTGCCGACCACATTCCGCGCAATGCACCTAATGATAGAATGTTCAGCAGACGAGGTACTATGTATAGGCACCACACGTGCTCTGAAATTATTTCTCCTACTTGTATTCTCCACTGTCCTTTGGCTGAGCGTTCAGGATGGTGAGAGAGTAATCTCGCTTCTCATCGTCGTGCTGCGGTCGGTAGCGGTCAGTATGACTGATTTTCTTCGCCGTTGTGATACCTGAAACGAAAGCGTGCAGCTTATTGAAATTATTATTATTACTTTTATTATTTCTACTTTTGTTCTTATAACTTATTATCGGTAATAAACAAACACAACACAATGATTATGTTACATAGCAATTTTCGATAATGCGTAAAAGAAATCGTAAAGACCAGGAGACTACCAATTGCAAGAGCCTATGCTCATTGGGCATAGTGGGAAGGCACCAAGACGTCGAGGGCAGGACTTTCTTTGGTGAAGCTTACTGCTTGGAAATTATTTGGCCGACATCAAGAGACGACTACTCTTTATATACGTTCTTTGGCCAGCTCACCATTTTAAGCTTTATGGGTAAAAAGTGTTGTTCAAGCCCATACGCTTCAACTTCAGGTTGAGACACAGACACTTAGACGACACTCCTCCCCACTCAAAAGTCCTCAACCATATTTGCGGTAAATGGGAACTCAGTTTTTGACTGCGCTGGTTGGCAGTATGTAAGTATGTTAGTTTGTTAGTATGCCGCCACGACACATATGTATGATCCATGTGATGAATCCCCTGTCGAATCTCACCTGAACAACTTTCGTCGTCAAGGGCCTCATGAATTCTTACCGTTTGAGAAGAAAAAACGCTGACTTCGGCATCCCTGGATTCGATTGCCAAAATAATACATAATGGGAGCAGAGTGCATGGCGTAATCAAAACTGTTCAACTTCAAACGCCAAGAAGCTGTCATTCTGATGTGGTGATGAACAAACAGGTTGTACAGAGTTCCGCGAGCAAATTCCAACACTCTCATTGAAGGAGGATTCCAATATAAGAGCGGCGATCGAAGAAGGGAAATCTTATCTAGTGGGGAGGCAGGCGGACTCCCTGAGGGTGCGGACTAACGCGCAACTCGCATCGAGGATATCCCCGGCGGTGTAGCATGGCCTCCATTCGGAACGCCCACCGACTGTTCAACAAGGGGAGTTTCTCAGGGCAAGCCGCGCTTTTTGGAAACGGTTTCCTTGCATATTGTAGGGACGCATGTATGGACCACAAAACCATGTTTCGTTTTCGCTGAACGGTTTTAGTAGTATCAAAAAAGTGGTGAATGATACCTTGATGGTTCGATCCCCGCGGCGACTAAATTTTGCAATCAAGGTTGGCGGCCACTTGTTGGCTTCAAAATGGTCCTGACGATGAATTTGACATCTGATTTTGACATTTAGCGCGATTTGGCACCAACCCAAATGCAAAATTTAGTCGCCACGGGGGATCGAACCATTAACAGTACCTTATGCTTCTTTTTTGGTACTGCTAAAACCGTTCAGCGAAAATGAAACATGGTTTTGCGTTCCCTACATGCGTCCCTACAATATGCAAAAACCGTTTGAAAAAGCGTGGCTTGCCCTGAAAGACTCCCTCTTATGCACTCGCCGCAGGTATACACGGCGAGTGAACAGATAGCAGAGAGAGCGTTAACGTTGAAGAGGGCACAACGATGAGAGTCGCATCAATGCGGAACGGGCAAGGAAGGGGTCCCATTTCTCGGGTTCTGGGCCGTTTTACACGGTTTTATCTTCATTTCTATTCCACTGACTGCCTCCCTTTTTTCAAGTAAGTCAACTTTCAGTCGTAAAATCCGCGTCCAAGCGAGCGATGCTCCCTACGAAACTTCTTTCGACATAGCAATGAAAATAGTTCTAAAGGCGTAGTATAAGAATTAAGATACTGCCGTCAGTAATTTTTGTACTCATCTTCAGAACAGTACGCGTAATACGTTTGATTGGCCGGTATACTGTCGAACAACACATGAATG